GCAACTAACAATGAGGACTGAGTGTCTGCTACAGAATGCTTCATTCATTTTGGGGAAAGGAAATGGCAAGGGGTATCCTCAAGATGTGACTGGATGGCAGGCACTCTGGGTAAGAGCATTCAAACTACACCATTTTATTCTGAGTCCTCCTTACCATCCCAGCATTCTGATAAATAATGGATGTTCCTTATTGGGACAATTTTAAAGCTTTCATTGGCACCTTTGGTATGGTGTGTGTTGTTTGTGGATTATGATTTTATTTAGAGGTGTTTCCTAATTCATAGAAGTCGCTCTTAAAACAACTTCCTTCTAGCTGATGTACATGTAGTATTGGTGAGTGTAGGCTGCTTATGCTGCCTGGTCATGGAAGCTTAGTACTTTCTCCCAGGCTGCATCTACATGGCAGAATTAATGCAGTTTGACACTGTTTTAACTGCCATGGCTCAATGCTGTGGAATGCTGGGATTTGTAGTTTTGTGAGATATTTAGCCTTCTCTTGTCGGAGAGCTCTTGTGCCACAACAAATTACAAACTCTATGATTCCATACGATGGAGCCATGCTAGTCAAAGTGGTGTCAAGCTACATTAATTCTTCAATGTGGTAGCAGTCCCAGTGTTTATATAATGCAGTGGTTCCCAAACTTTGGTCCTCTAGATGTTTTGGACTTCAGATTCCAGCATTCCTGACTGCTGACCAAGCTGTCTGGTGCTTTTGAGCGTTGATGTCTAAAAAACCTGGAGGATCAAAGTTTGGTAATCACTGAATAAAGCAAGAGTGAGGAGGGCTCATCTTACCAGGCCATCCTGTCCAACCTATCAAGGCTTAGTTGCTGGCCTTTTGCTAGTGTAACATACACCTTCCTGCTTTCTTACGCCTACTGTCCCATCTTCTCTGGTCCTAGAGATGCTGCCTGGAGCATGAGGAGCATCTCATGGCTCTGTAGATATTTTCCCATTAGAGACAATCAATGGTGAGAGCTGATGAGACCCACCATGTTCAGTAACATATATATCAGTGGTAGGCAACCTTTCCCCTTTAAGGGCTGAGGGACTTCAGCTCCCAGAAGCCTCAGCCATGTTGGCCAATAGTCCCAAGTTGGCCAATAGCTCCTGGGATTCTGGGAGCTGAAGTCCCTCGGCCCTTAAAGGGGAAAGGTTGCCTACCCCTGATATATAGGGTCATGCAGTGCTGTAGAGTCAAGGGTAGTGGGTCCTAACACAACGTGGACTGTATAAGAGCATTTTAAAAAATAATTGTGGAAATTGTGTTGCCATCCAATTGTGGTAGAACTGCAACTCGCAACATTCTTCATCATTGCCTATGCTGGAATTGCAATTCAGACATAGAACAAAATGAGATATTTAAAAATATTTGTCCCTTTAAGATTTTACCACTAAAATGGGGCAGTCATATGGGATGCAGTGGCTCAAGTGGTTAAGACGCTGACTCTGGACGTTATCACACTGGCCCTAAAGCAGAAAGAATTCAGCA